ATAAATTGACTTGACATTTTTTTTCTAATTCCATAGTAATTCTTTTTTCTAATGAAAGCCTTTTCTCTGCGTGCCCAAGCATGTCTCCATGTTTCAGGTGCTGGTTCACAGTATGGCTTACAGGGATAGCGGCAGGGTCAGGAGCTCTGGATGGCCTCCCTCAGCAATGACACATGTAGGCCAGTGTCTCCCTTCCCTGGTCCGCCTCACCCTTTCCAGGGAGCTGAGGGATGCAGGTGTCCTCAGCAGTGGGTAAAGCATGGGAGTGAGTGTTCCTGCAGCATGTGGTATTGTCACTGTGTCTTTGACATTTTCATTTCCCACTATTCCCAACCTCCATATTGGCCAAGATAAATTCATATAATGGACGACTTGGTCGGTGTCTGCTCTGGTCCTTGTTTCACATGAAATTCTTCAGTTCTCCATTCGTGAAAGACCTGTCATGGGAGAAGGATTCCAAGATAGATACTTTCAACACACAGACTTCTCTCATAGACTGTGTGGGAAACTGATTCTTATTTATAGACCTTCTGGCCTCTGCTTTCCTGTCACCCTATTGCCACAGTGACTGAAGCCAAAACTCATTAAGAGAAACCTATACTTTGTAGAATTACACAAGAATCTCTCCAAAGATACTCACGGCCCTCCCCGCACTGCCCCAGAATGTCCAGGCTTCCAGTTTAAAATGTGAAACAGCTTACAGAAAAAGTACTTGTGTTATCAAACACAAAGAAAAGGTTCTTTACACTAAGACATCTTAAAAAAAATTCCACAACCCCAACAGAAGCCTGCTCCTCATAGAGTGTGTAGCTTATAAGTAACTTTAATATACAGTGCTTCTTCTCAGAAAATGTCGTAAGAACAGATTCTGGATTCCAAATGAAAAGTTCATTGAGCATCAAGTGTGGGTTTTCTCATGATGCAAGTACTATATCTAGGATTTTTCCTTCTTTCTCACCTCTGAACTTCTACATCATTCAAACCAGATATAATAGCTGCTGCGAAGTCCTTGTGTCTTCTGGATTATTTCAGAGTTGGTCTCCATTGATCAGCTTTTCTGTCGAGTATGTGTCATGTCCTCTACTTTTCTCACATGTTGAATAATTTTAGACTGCTTCTAAAATTCCCTCAGGGGACTTGTTAATGAGATATGGAGACTCTGGATTTTGTTTATCTTTCTGAAGAATATTGTTATTTGTTTGTTTTTCCAGTAGGTTAATGTGGTTGAACTCAGATTCTAAATTCTCCCCTACATTTTGCAGGAGCTAAATTCTGTGGTCAGTCCATTAACTCTAATTGGGCTGCTTGTCATCTATCTCAAACATGTGTAGTTCAGAGATTTGATCAGAGATTTTATGTGCAACTTGGGATTCCTCCCTCTGGATCTCCCTTTTAAAGATGTTCTCCTAACACTCTCTAGCTGCTGCAGTAACCCCAAATTATTCTTGTTCTTCCAGCCAATAAGTCTCTATGCTACTGAGTTATAACTGTCTACCCATTGTCAATCCAGGTGTGTCTTCAAAAAGAAAAATTGAAACTAAGAAATATCAACAAGACTGTTCCTTTCTCCCAAGTATCTATTACACTGTAGATTATGATTTTTTCACTTTCTGTACTTTCAAGTTTAGTTTTCTTTTTCTTCTCTTTTTTTTTTCATTTGTGCAATGTTTATAATGTTGACATACAGGTTATTATCTCCCCTAGTGGAAATGAAACCTCACTTTTGTTTGCTTTGCATATTCCTAAGTATAAGTTGAATTACTGGATTTTAGGGTCTCTTGTTATACAAACTGCCAGATTTTGTTGAAAGTGGTATACCATTTTGCATTGCTCCGTGCTTGCAGAAGAGGACAGTTATGATATAAAGTATGGTGTTAAAGCAGAGATATTAAGAGTAAATGTAGTTTTAGGTCTATTAGATGATTGAAACTGAGGGTTTGGAGAGCTCGAGTATGACTGTGCATGAATGACAAGCACAGCACAGGGTGTTGACTGCAATGTTCAAAAGAAATGTGCTCTCTTATCCCAAGACTCTTGCTCTGTTCACACGTCTTTCTTTTCCAATCCTTCCAGAGATCAAATATTCATCACTTTACTCCTCTCCCTTTGAATCTCTGAACTGACCCCTCACCTTTGGTTCTCTCCTATGAAGCATAAGATTTTCTACTGAGAGAGTTAAGTCCTGCTAAGAAATCTGAAAATTTAGGCCAAAAGGAAACCTAATCTTCTATGCTCTTTTCAGTACATACACTTTTTCACCAGTTTTGATGACACTGGCGTGCTCCACGTTCCAGTGCACTGTGTTCCATGTGACAGGGAGAAGTGAATGCTCCTTAGGCTCTGTATTTTCACTCTATTCATGACATCTCCTGCTTAGTGAGGAACCTTAGCAAATATCTTCCCCTTTGGCTTAGGTATTTTTAACATTTTCCCATTTGGGAAAACCTTGGAGCAAAATAATAGTTAATGTGGTTAAAGTGACTAGTAGTAAAAGTTAATGTGGTATGAGTCAGATAAAACATAATTCTGAGAAAAACCTGAAAGAAAAAAACATAAGATATGAAAAACGGTTAAAATTTGTCCAAGGAGAATCATAGATATGTTAACAATATGAGAAGAATGGCTGAATTTCATTATGTGACACAGCAATCATGTTTGCAGCAGGAATAGTATAATAGAAGCATGACTTATCACCCAGATGCTTAATTGTTAAAATTATATACACAGTGATACATCTGTGTATATACTAATCAGTCATTATATGCAACACTTTCTAATATATATGAGGCAATAAGCAACAAAATAGAAAAAGTCCCAGCCTGTTTTCATGAAACTTACAGTTGTGGGTGCAAAGTGGAATGGAGGTGAAGATTCCTATTAACAGTATAACACTAAGCTCCTATTGCCTTCCACTTACACATTTTCATTTTCTAACTCATGGTATACTAACTGAGTTCTGACCCCTAGGAGTAATCCTTGTTTAGAGATGACTTCCTGAGAAATCCTAGCAAAGAAGACCTAGAAAAGGAGCCTATGAAGGCTCCATGGACCATCGCCCAGGCTTCTGGATCAGTTCTGCACAGACACCAGCAGACAAAGGAGGTATACCAGGCCCTGCTCAGGGATAAAGAGGATACTTTGGGAAACAAAACATAGAAAGACACAGAGTTCTTCAAAGCTTCATAATCTAATACCTGTAAGTGTAAGGAAGTAGGATTGTGGCATGGCTGTTCACATAAATTGCTAGCACACTGTCTTCTCCAGATTTGATATCTTCCCTGCTCTGTAGCTTCTTTGTAGTTACTAGTCCTTCAAGATTTCCATGTTCACACTCAGGGATCCACTGCAGTTCCTGAAACATCACTAGCCTTGCTCATCTTCTCCTTAGACCATATCTGCCACCCAGAAACTAAGCTCATCTGAGAAATCGGGAGCGGGAGGAACACATGGGAAGGATTTCCGTGAGGGGCATCTTTACAACTTTTCATATAAAACTGATGCTTGATTTCTATTAAGAATCTGAAAAGATAACAGAAGATGTGGCATGACAGCAAGAGCTGAAGACCCATGAGAAAAGAAAGTAAAGTAGGGGTGCCTCTTTATTTATTTATTTAACCACATCTTTTTCTGTTAAAGAGACAGCTACACCCCAGACTAACCCAGATGGTAGATACAGTCAAAGACTTTTTTCTTTTTTACTCCCACTTCTCCTTATCTGACCTGCTCTTACTGGATTGTAAATGACTTTGTGCATTATCACCTCTACAACATTCTCCTTATACCTTTAACTGCCCCAATACATGTTTTGAAATTGCACTGTTTACCTGAGTCATTATCATTATCACAGTTCACTTGTGTCATTTAATACCCAATTTTGGAATTGTTTCATACTCTATTAGTCAGAGTTCTCCAGAGAAACAGCACCAATATTATATACATCCTTCGTTCACAGGAAGGAGATTGATTACCAGGAACGGGCTCATGTGATTATGGCCTTTGAATAGTTCCAGGCCCTGCTGTCTACAGGCTAGAGACCCAGGGAAGCTGGTGTAATTTAGTCCAAGATTGAAAGCTTGAGAACCCGAGTAGTCAATGGAGTAAATCCCAATTGAAGGGCAGAGAAATATGCACCCCAACTCCAGCAGGCAGGCAGGAAGCAAAAGGAACTCCTTTCTTTCTTCCTCTGCCTCTTTGTTCTGCTCAGGCCCTCAATCTATTTTAGTGAGACCACACATAAAAAAGCTGATCTTATCTGGAAACAACACTTGCACAGTCACACCCAGAAATAATGTTTAATTTGGGCTATCTGTGGCCAGTCACATTGACTCATAAACTTATCCATCGCAATTACTTTCCTTTTTGCTCTTTATTTTGCTAGGACTACAGAGATTTTTTTTGTTAAATAGCATTAGATGACATTGCCCACAAAAGACACTTCATGGGTTTGAGCTCTGCAGTCCGCTTAGGAAAAGTGTCATTTTGTCCATATTGAATCCAGGCTCTGAAAGTCAGCATCACCTGCTGCCAGTCTGGGAGAGGCCCTCTGACTGACCGCCTGAGGTCACTTCAGATTTGAGCAGCCATTCCCCCTCCCGTGACCTGACAGGACACAAACTGGCAGGTTCCCTTCCTTCAGCTGGTAGACACAGGGCAGGGGAGAGCTGCCGGCATCACAGCCTTGGGTGAGCCTGCAGCCTGGGTTCTCACTGTGGTGAAAGACAGACTTTATTCCTCCTCAGACACCTCGTTTCTAAGGGAGCAAGAGGAGGTTGGTGTGCGTGGCATTACACAGCTTAGGTAAGCCTAGTTCTCCAAAGGGCGAATCACTCTGGGAGCCGTGAGAACAGCCTCACGGAGCAGAGCTGAGCAAGGATTAAGACGCCAGTCACTTAAGGCACAAAGGCTGGGTATTTCCCAGGGGTCCTATGTGAAGGCTCCTCATTGGTCCACAGATTTTCTGCTTACCTGCCCCTCCCCTAAGAATTTAACTTTCATTTTCACTCTGCTCCTCCCGATCCCCGTGGCCTCTGGCTTGCGGAGTGAATCCTGCCCAGGACTGCGCCTCAGGCTGGAACTCCAGGACAAGTGCATAGGCTTCTTCCCAGGAAGATTGGGGGTGAGTTTCCTTCTGCTCTCTGTGCAGGGCCTGGAGGGCGGCAGCCTGCCAAGGACTCTGGGGTCCAGTGTTTCAGACCTTGGGGCGCTGAGCCGCACCCTCTTCCACCCCGGCCACTACTCCCAGGAGATCAAAGGGCGTCCCCTGTGACAGCTGCCCCGACCCAAAAGCTCGGATAGGGCCGCAGTGTCCGGACAGCCCTGGTTGAGTTGCTTTAGTGGCGCAAGGGTGTGGCCCTGGCAGAGGAGAAGAGTGGGGCGCGCGCACTCCGCAGTCAGCTCTGGCTGTGCGGCTGCAGCAGGGGGAAGAGGCAGGCCTAACCAGCGGCACCCACAAGTTACAGGGATATGAGGCCTTGCGCTGGCAAGGTGGTGCTTGGGTCAATTTTGTTGCTCTCGCCCGACATATCTGCCTGGTGTGTGGGTCTAACACGCCACCACTCCTGCAGGAGATGGATCTCCTTCGTGGTCTGTGTATTTCTCAAAGTTTTGCTTCTGCCCCATGTCCTGGGGTAAGTTCTGTAAGTCTTTTAAATCCTGTGCAAGAGCCCCTTAAGAGAGGGACCCCTGTGCCCTGCACCCTCATGGTTCTCCTGGACATAAGCCCTGTTCTTTTTTGAAGGCAAATGTTTTGTGGGCCCAGCTCTGGGGCACAAGACCCCAGGTCAGGGATCCTGACGTGGGACACAAGCCTATAGGTCCTCAAGGATGGGCTAGGCATTTGTGATATACCTGCAGCTAAGGTACCGCTTATGTTTCCATACCAGGGTATCTCCCTGCCTGATGAGTAGTCCTGGAGTCACTGCTCAGGTGGTGGGGTCAAGCTCCATCTCCGAGGACTCGTTTTTCTGCACATTCCTCTTCTGTGTCCTGTAGCAGCGAGTGATTTGACCTTAGGTCCTTGTGGCCACACAAAAAATAAATTCTGCAGCCCCAGGGCAAACTGCTTGAACTGCACCTCCCTTCTCCCTAAACTCTTGTTGTGTATCAGGATTGGTTGGATCTTGAATGGGATTATGAACAATTGGATGCCCCACCCCCACATTTGGATCATGCTTGAGTCATAAACTGGGGTAGACATAATATTTACCTCGATGCAATGCCTACCTCTGATCTTGCTGTTCATAAGAGCCTGATCTGAACCCCCGTCTCTGCAGCCAGGGGCTACCTGAGTCCAGCCTCTGGACTGTTCTCAGTATCCTGACATCTGCTCGGATACACGTCCGGTTCTCCTCCAGCCTCGTTCCTTGTCAGGCTCCCTTCATGTGTGATGCACATGGCACCAGTGACAGTGTTGGTAGATCTGAGTTCATCCTCCTACAGCCTGCGTAACATTTCCCTTCCTAGCACAGAGCAAAAAGAAAACTTTTTATCTCATAGTGTAGATATTTCTTTTACTGTCAAAGTTTGAGAGTCATCAAGACATGAGTATCTACTGAGATTTTTTTCTTTCTTTTTTTATTGCTTCCTAGTCCCCTTTTCTTGGAGCTCCTGAGAGAACCCCTGAGCCTACACGGTGGCCATATTGAGAACTTGTGGGACAATGAGCATCATTGTGCTACCACTCATGCTGCCACTCTGATAGCCTCTCAGACTGACTGTCAGCATCGTTTCCAATTTAGGTGGTCATTCACCTTCATGTGACCTGAAGAGATATAAACTTCCAGGTCACTTAGCTGTTCAGGAAACAGAACATGTCAACAAAGGCTGCCTCAGGTGAGCGCTCAGTGATGGTCTTCACAGCTATAGAAGGTCCTTTATTCCTGTTCTCTCAGCTTTTTAAGAAGCCAGACTTAGTGGATATGTGTGAAACCACCTTAGGTTATGTAAGCTCAGAGCTACAGTGCACTATTTACCTTGTGAAAGTTATAAGCACAGCATCCAAGGGCCTAAAAGAGCCAGTGCTGGTTATAAAAGTCACAATCTCCTTATGAAAAATGAAGTCTAAGCTCACTAATTGGCAGCTGAGTTCTATAGGAATTCCTCCAAATGCACTTTCCACATCAGACCATTTTCATTATCAATAATATGGCCTTGCAATGCAGCTGATCTTTCACTTTATTGTAGCCTCAAGAATTTCTCAGAAAACAAATTCAAAACCAAATACCCAAGTTATTAGAGGAGTAAGCCAGTATTACCTCTCCGGGAAGAAAGAGCCTGATGTTGACTCTTTGTTCCCAGGTACCTAATCTAACTGCCATCTTTTCCTCTTATCTCATCCCATGTCTCACTCTGATCCCCTGCTCTCCATTTGTTTCATTACCTTGTCCTCAAAGCTACCATCTTTTCTCCCCTGGGCAACTGTGCATGCATCCGACTCATCTTCCCATTTCCACAGTGGATCCATCTAACACACCACCACCCAAGGACAAAGCTAATTATGTCCCTCTTTTCTCTGAGAGGAAAACATGGATAATTTTTTTTGCTCTTGGAAAAGAGCCCCTAACTGTTACATAACTGGGAACGTGTCATATATCATGGTCACTACTGGCTTATGTTACACTGAAGGCCTTGCAGTTTTCTGCACACCGCCTGCACTGCCATTTCCCAGCTCAGATTAGGTGGTACCTCTTTCATGAACAGGTCATTTCTTTCGCTAATGTATTTTTTCCTCACTCATATGCCATATTTCCTTCATCTTCTTCAGCTTTCACTTTCAACCCATATGTTTTTATGTTGGAATTGCTGGACAACTCATTATCTGCCCCATTGTTCGATTTCCCAACAATATGCATACCTCCCAAGAAGTGTTTTTCATATCAGCTTGATGGCTGATTTTTTTTTATTATAGTATTTAGTTTTTATAGAAGGGGAGGGAGGGAGGACGAGAGGGAGAAAAACACCAATGTATGGTTGCCTCTCGCATGCCTCTTACTGGGGACCTTGCCTGCAACCCAGGCATGTGCCCTATACTGGGAATAGAACTGGTGACCTTTTGATTCCCAGGCTGCCACTCAACCACTGAGCCACACTAGCCAGCGCTGATTATTTAATTTATGGTTGCTTTCCAAGTGAATTTCAGGGCCATAGTAGTTTAAATTCTCTGTTTAGACTCATCTTTTTGTTTGTGAATATTAGTTTAGTTGTTAGCATGTAATTCATAGTCATTAAGAATTAGTTGAATGACCTTTCCTAATATTTGAGACTTCTTTCCCAGGATAGATATTCATGTAATCTGTGTTCTTATTTCCCTAGTTATATGACTTATGCAATCCTATGAATATATTTATGCTATCTCCCTCTCCATCATCCACACACATACACACCTTTGGGCTCCTATCAATGCCCTTGGCATATTTTCCAGGCAACCATGAAATTTTACCATTTATCAACACAAGACTTTCCAGAGCCTTCTAAGTTACCTGTTTCGTCTTTGATTAACTCAAAGGTAAGAACAGACCTCTGAAAGTTACCCTGAATACATTAGGTTCATTGCAACTGTGCATGTTGAAGATAAATAATCTTTGTAAGTTACTCACCGTCTCTATGTACACATCTGATTAAGGGTTTGCTCTTGCCACATACACAAACACATTGTCACATATTATGTCATGATAATAAGAGAAATCACTTCAAACATTCAGCAAAGGATGTTGATGATTACACTATAAGTAAGCAAGTCAGGGCAGGTCTTTCTGATAAATGAACATGTAAGGAGAGAGGTAACTGAGGGATGAGAGTGAGTCCTACTGATACAAGGGGCGGCATTGCAGGCTGATGGAAGAGCGGGTATAAGAGCCCAGATGTGTAAGTGTTTGGTGCTTTTGTTATGGAGGCTGTGTTTTGCACATGGGAAACAAGTGGGAGAGATGGGGGATCACAGAAAGACCTTGGTAGTAAAGGCCTCAGATCATCCTTCTGTTCTGTAAAAGTAAAGGACAATAACAACCATTGCACAGATAAAAATGAAATTTGTCATGTCAGATTATCTAAAATTATTTAAAATTGTTATGAATCATCCTTTTTACAAAGTCACCTAGTTTCTTTCCCTACCTCTCCACCTTTTCCTTTTTGTCCTTGAATATGTGTTCTTGCCCTGTCTGATTTATACAAAGTTAGTATCATTTATTCTTACCTTTCTTACACTGTGTCCTTTGACCTTTCTCATCTGGCAGAAATCTGTGAGCCAGAGGAACTTCAGATCAGGACAGAGAGAACAGGGAAGCAGCTGCAATGGCTTCAGAAATCCTGGCGAACATGAAGGAAGAGGTGACCTGCCCCATCTGCCTGGGGCTCCTGAGAGAGCCCATGAGCCTGGACTGTGGGCACACCTTCTGCCAAGCCTGCATCACTGCAAACAGCAAGGAACCCATGGTCAGCAAAGAAGGAGAGAGCAGCTGCCCTGTGTGCCGAATCAATTACCAGCCTGGGAGCCTGCGGCCTAACTGGCACGTGGCCAACATAGTGGAGATTCTTCAAAAGGTCAAGTTGAGCCCAGAGGAGGAGCAAAAGACAGATCTGTGTGTGCACCATGGAGAGAAGCTCCTGCTCTTCTGTAAGGAGGATGGGAAGTTCATTTGCTGGCTTTGCGAGAGGTCTCAGGAGCACCGAGGTCACCCGACTTGCCTCATGGAGGAGGTTGCCCAGGAGTACCAGGTAATGGACCAGGGTAAAGGAAAGTCTGGGCAGGAAATAGTACTTGATGGGAACTCTGTACTTTGCATTGACACTAATTACCTTGCCACCATAACCCTGAGGCCTGTGATCACTTCTGTTCCTTTGCTCACCTTCCAAGGCCTGAAGGACATTTCAGTGCATGCCACACAAATACAAAATAATGAGCAGACTCAAACAAGAAGTAAGTATTTATAGTTTGTACTAATAGGTGGAGGTTTGGTCCTCAAGCAAAGCTGTCATTGCCCCGTAGGCAGGTGGGGTCAGTGGGCAGCTGGGTGGATCAACAGACAATAAATCCTTTCCTTACTACAGGATCAGGTTTCTTCTTCTAGGACAAAGGGAGTCAGTCTTCTTCTTACATGGGAATGGAAATTTGTATCACCTGAGACTTAAAGAAAACATTCACCATATCAGGTTTCCTTCAAGCCACAGATTCTAATTTTCATTTCACAGTTTTTGTAAACTCTATTCTCTTCAAATATCAGCCTGATTTTTCTCCCTTAGTCCTCTATCCTGAAGCTGAGAGAGCCCATAGTTTGACTGTGGTGTGATTCTTCCCTCATAGGAAAAGCTGCAGGCAGCTCTGAATGGGCTGAGGGCTGAACACAAAGAAGCTGAGAAACTGGAAGCTGACATCAAAGAAGAGAGAACTTCCTGGAAGGTAGGAGGAGGCTCTTCCTGCAGGAGTTAGACAAGAACCTGGGCAGGTTCTTGAGTCTTAGTCCAAAGGAACCCCTTTCCTCCTGTTCGTTGACAATTGATATGTCTAGTCATTGATCAGGCATTCTTTATCCTTTTCCTGACAGGGGTGGGACTGAAATAGAACCTGTCACAAATTAACACATACTCATAGGTTAGTGATTCTCAGAGAGACTATCTGGTAAGGATGGCTAGTGAACTCTGTGCTCATTGCTGTCATTATTTTGAGGCTTAACTCTTCCAGAGAAACCAATTTCCAATAATTTATGGCTCATCCCCATGTGTCAAAGTTAGGCTGAGGGTGAGGGTGGGGTTCAGGAGTAACGCAGGGAGGCATGAGAGTCCTGGGCAGCTGCGTGAGAGCTGAGCCACACCCAGGTGTCCTATTTGGCTTAAAAGTTGGTTTCAATAATGCAGACTTTAGGCCATCATTTTGGAATGTGTTGAAGAGAAAATCATAGGAAAATCAGCCTCCCCACCACCCTCACTGTTGTCCTGCTTCCATCTCCCTTCTTCTTGAGGACTTCCAAATCAAATACTTCTTTTTCTGGCTCCCAGCCTCTGCCTGATAGCCTGAGTCCCTGTCTCTTTTTCGTTCCTGAAGAATCTAATACAAAATGAGAGCCAAATTGTCCAGGATTGCTTTAAAAAAATGAGAGGCTTCCTGGACACTGAGGAGCGGAAGGAGCTGCAAAAGCTGAAGAGGGAAGAGGAACATGTTCTCTGTGTCCTGGAACAGTCTGAGAATGAGCTGGTGAAGCAGAGGCAGTTGTTGAAAGATCTCATCCCAGATCTGGAGCTTCGGTTGCAGGAGTCAACGAGGAAGATGCTGCAGGTAAGACTTGGGAAGAAACCCCACCCAGCCCCTGAACTTGAGGAAAATGAAGACTTAGTTTCCTGCTCTGCTGTGTGGCTGTGCTGTTTCTGGTCATGACACTGAGGTTCCCATGATCTGGCAGTAACCTTTCCCTGCATCTATTTCGTAGGTTATAGGGACAATTGACTGCATGAATAACAAGGATAATCTTGTTTTCATTAATGAATTAGTTGCAGTAAAAAAAAATTTGACTGTGGTGAGAAGATTCACTGTTTCCCATCATATTCTATAAGCTCCTATATCTGTGATCCAGCCTAGAACACTTTTTCAGATACCTCCTCATTACCCAAGAGTTCTATTTTTGTTTTTTCTCATAGAATGAGTTGAGATTTTGATCCTCTGTATTTTTTGAATAAGCAATCATCAGAGATTGGTATTATGTTTTCCTTAATAATTCAGTAAATTCACCAGTGCAACTATCTCACTCTTGGCCTTTATGAAAATGTTTAAAATATATGTATGTATATTTTATTGGATAAATTCAAAAATTGAATATATAAATACATTATAACATATACTTTATTGACTATATAAATATATAAATACAGTAAAATTATACTTAAAATAATAAGTATGTATTTATTAACTTTTAACATATAATTTTAATTATATCTTAAAATATATTAATATATTATTATTTACTTAAAAACTTAAGTAAAATATTAATTTTTCTTAAGTTTTTTAACATTTATTGAGTCAGGTTTTGATAATATACATCTTTATAGAAATTTGTCCATTGTAAGTTGCCATTTGTAAACATGAAGTTAGTCATTATAATCCTGTAGAATCTCGTTCATTTTTACAGTACTCACAATCATTTCCCTTCTTTTATTTCTTAAAAAATGATCTTTTTTTGTCAATTTGGTTGTGTTTGGTTGATTTTCCTGATACTTTGCAAGAATAAACTTTGTTTTATTGATTTATCTAATTTTAATCTTCCTATATCATTGATTTCTGCTCTTAATTATATTGTTTTCTTTGTGTTTGTGTATATGCAACATGCATACATGAGTATGTGTATTGTGTTTAATTTGCTGTTATTTTTCTAGTTTCTTAAAGTGATAATTTAGACCACTGATTTGACACAGTCTTTCCAGTTTTGTTTTTAATGATATAAATATCTTGTTTTTGCTGTGGTCTGTACTTCTGGATTATTTGCTTATTGTTTTTATTTAACTTATTTTCACATTTCTTTCTGATTTTTTTGTTTGGTGTACTCTTGGTATCTTTGAAACTATTGTTTAATTACAAACATTGGGTGATTTTATACTTCTGAATATTTTAAACTTAATTCCTTTCTAATCAATAAACATAAATTTTATTGTTTCAATTTTTTAAATTTATAGAAACTTGCTTTATAAACTAAAATGTTATATATACAAAAAGGTTATATAATTTGAAAAGAATGTGTACTGTGCATTGATTGTGTGAAAGGGTCCATAGATGCCATTTTATTTATTTTTTTCTTCTTAAGTCCCTTTAACATTTCTTGTAAAATTTTTTCTTATGTAGGAAGCTCTTTTTGCCTCCTTCAATTTTAAATGATAGCTTTGCTGGCTAGAGTAATCTAGGTTGTAGGTCCTTGCTTTTCATCGCTTGACTAATGCCAATCCCTTCCGGCATACAAAATATCTGTTGAGAAATCAGCTGAGAGTCTTACAGGAAAATTATAGGTAAGCAACTGCTTTTCCCTTGCTGCCTTTAAGATTCTCTCTCTTCATTCTTCATTCTACACTTGGTCTTTTTTATTCTTTCTATCTGCTTCATTATGTTTCCTATCTCTTTGTTGAAGTTCTCATTGAGATCATCTGTTCTTTTCCCTAAGTTCTGTGAGCCTCCTTATAATCAGTATTTATAATTCTGCATCTGGTGGATTACTTGTATCCATTTTCTTTATTTTGGAATGTATTGAAGAGAAAATAATTGGAAAAATCAGCCTGCCCCAAAATTGCTCTCCTACTTCCATCTCTTTTCCCTGTGAAAACTTCCAAATCAAATACTTCTTTTTTCTTAAGCTTTATCCTGATCTTTCATTTGGGACATATTTCTTTGTCTTCTCATTTTGGCTGCCTCCCTATGTTTATTTCTATGTATTAGGTATATCTGCCCTGGCTCCCAGTCTTGGCTGAGTGGCCTTATGTAATAGTAACCTTTGCTGTTTTTGTGTTCACATGAGTGTGGAGCTCCAGGGGTGTCCCTTGTGTGGGTTGTGTGTGTTCTGCTGCTGTAGTTGAGTCTTCATTACTGTTGGCACACACATGGCTGGGATTGACCCTCAGGCTGAGTTGCTATGAAAAATGGCATTGACTACAGTGAAGAAGCTGACTCCATGGAGTGGGGTTCACTTTAGCAGGACTCATGTGCCTGCTGTGTCCATCCTTTGGGTGTGTCATTTTGGCTATAATTAGGTGCAACTCTAGTATGGTCTGAGGCTGACCACCAGGTGTATTGGTTCTGGGGCCCCTTGGGAGGGGCTCTGGTATGAGCCAAGTTCAGCCACTTCCTTTGTCTGTCAGAGCACCACCGATTAGTAGCAAAAAAGTGACCTTTGGTTGGTGGTTGCCTGTGCTGGGCTTGGAGGTGCCTTGGAGATGCTGTGCTGTTCACCAGGATCAGCTGCCACAACTGCCAGCCTGGGGCCGCTTAGCAAGAGGGAAAGTGCACACGAAGGCCAGCCACTGCTTGTGTGGGGTTTGTGGAACTTGAGAGACTTTAGGAAAACTTGCAGCATGGGCTGGCAGGCCAGCTGCTTGTGTGCCTTACCCTCTGAAAGAGATTCGGTCAGGGGCTTGAATTGGGTGCAGTGAGGTCTCAGAGAATAACCAGGATGGAATACGAGTGGTGTTAACCTGGTTAATGGAGGCTCAGATTTGTCCCTGGCCTGTGCCGCTGGCTGTGTACACACAGGGCTCCACAAGAGAACAACAGGGCCTGCCCGCACTTTAGTCCCTGGGAGAGGTGCCACACCAGCCCTCCACCTGAAGCCAGGCAATTCAGTTTCTCTCTGTGTGTCTCTGGTGCTTTGCAAGGTTCTGTCTCTTCTCTGGATCTTAGGACAAGTGTTTGTGAGGGAGTGACTCTGTGCTAGGGCCCTTTAGATGATGCCAGGTTTTTCAGTAGCCCTCCATCCCACCTGGACTGAATCTGTGCTAGTTTTCCCAGGCAGATATTGTGGGAACACCTCTTCCCAGTACTGGTACTCCTGGCTGAGGAGCTGGATGTGGTGCTGAGACTTCTCGTGTTTCACGTGGTCCCTCTGCACCCATGATATTCCTGCTAATTCTTGACTTCCACAGAAGGGCGTGGTACCAGCCAGTTTTGTCTCAGCCCCTCCTCCTAGTCTCAAGGTAAACTTCTTCTTTATATCTTTCATTATAGGATTTCTGTTCAGCTCATCTTCATATGGTTTTCTACGGGTATTAGTCTGTAATTTAGTTATAATTTTCATATGGATGTGGGAGGAAACAATCACAGCATTTACGTACTCCACCATTTTGACCATAATTCTATCAATGTATTTTTGCCATTATTTGTATCTTTGAATCTAAAATATGTCTCATTTCACTAGCAATAATGAAATTGCTTCTCATCTAGTCCAAATATCTCTACCTTTCATTTGTTAGCTTAAGACAATGACATTTAATGCAATTCCCGTGTAGCTCTATTTAATTTTTATTGTTATTTGCTTCTACATGTTGCCTACAATTTTCAGTTTTATTTTCCTCATTGACAAGCATCTTTTGAGTTAATCAGATATTTTTAGTATAAAATATAAAGTGTTACTAGTTCTATTTCTGTGGTCGTTGCTCTTCTGAACACAATGTGCATCTTGTTTTCTTCTACTTTGGATTAATACTACATTAATCCCAGTAAAATATGGATACTTGCCTCCAACATTGTTTTTTATTATTATGGCAACTACATGGCAATGCTATAACATGGGCACTTGATCCAACGTATACCAGTGCCATGTAGGCCTCAGAATTATTTGATATAACTGGGAAGACAAGGTCACTTTTCTTATGGGATTTAGATGAGGAGATTGTTTTCTGGATGAACTGCTGAGAAAGTCAATACAGACAGCATAAATAGAATTTGGAGCATGACATAGACCAGATCCTGATGACCATGAATGAGCTTCAAAATTAAGCTTGGATTAAAATTAAAACTGACCCCCAAATTCTTTTTCAGTCCTTCATCCACTTTTAATTGTTTTTCATTATAAATCAGCAAAGCCCTCATACAGAGAGCAAAGCGGTTGTCTGTGTGTCTGTGTGTAGACCTGGAAATTTCCCTTGTTTATGGTGTCATGGAAGAAGTTAGTCTGAGATAGAGAACCATATATATTGGTACATATGTATTCAAAGAAATAAATCTGTGATGATAAAGAAGTTCAGATGACTAACAACTGTTAACGATGTGGAATAAACTGGCTCGGTAGAGAATAAGATGCAGGTAAATATTGTAGTGTTTAAGAGAGTGACCGAGGGGATATTAGTAACATGGACAAAGGGGAATAAAGGAGGAGATAATTTGTTTGGTGAAGAGTAAGGTACATATGAGGCATCCTCAGTTACCGATTCCTGTAGCTTCTTTATTAGGGAATATATTAACCTGCATTTAGGAGACAACATCGAGTAAAAATAAAACTTGGAATTCAAATGCACATGTTAAATTTTGGGAGTGGATGAGGCCAGTTATAGATAGTGTATCAAATGAGGAGAGACTTGAGAAAAGCCTATTAATACATTCGTTTGTTTTTGCCCTCAGCAGAAGTCATGTAACCTTCTTGAGGAATACTATAACTACTCATCTTTGTCTCTCCCAATTATGGCATAATGCTTGACAAGTAATAATACATCACTTTACATTCATATTGACTAAATGAACAAGCCATGAATTATTCAAATCATCTCAGGAGGAGCCTTATGAACATGGGTAAAATATCATGGGGCTTATGTTTTTCCTCCTAAATATACCTCATGTCCAAGTACTAGAAGCTTCATGCTATGGTTGCACAAGGTGAAAGTCTGTTCTATCTTTTAGGAAACCTGAAAACTTCACATAAGTCTTCTTCAATGATTGACCTGGGTCTATTCTTTATTTTTTGGCTCTCACATTATGATCATCTCTATTCCCACCATATCAGGGAGTGGCGAGGATGATATGAAGCTATGTAAGTGATGAAGCTTATTACTTCCTGACTTTTGTTTTCTCTTTTCTCCTTAGGATGTGAATGGCATCATCGAAAGGTATGTGTGGGAGACCAGAGATGGCCCTTTTGTGCTGTGAAAAGAGATTTAAAGCCATTATAGTTATCTGGTGGTTAATTAGAATAAAATATTGCTCGGGGTAGGAAAATTTGGGTATAGTTTTTTCTTAAATTTCTGTTCACATATCATGGTTTGAGTGTTCTCAAACTATTGAGAACATACCAGTTTCTGTAGTGGGGAATTTAGATTGTGGGAGGGAGTTGCAGAGTTTGGGTCAGCAGCTCTTAGAGATGAAATGTTACAGTATCAGACCCATATGACTTCAAAAATTTTTTTCACCCAGCATGCCTGTATCTAGCTTAGGTTCCCATATTTCATAGTGACTTTTCTATTGTGGATAGGTTTTTTCTTGTTTACCTGCCAAGCACTCAGAATTGGAGAGGACTCTTTTGTATTTAAATTTTACCCTTGGGGATAGAAGAAACCAGGTCCCTTCCATAATGTTCTCTTTTTTTTTCCAAAATCAGAGTTGAATCCCAAAGAATATTTTTACCTAGGTGCAAACAATTGATCTCTCTTGACCATGCACTTCTGTAGCCAGAATTAAAGGGCAGCATCCCTGTGTTTAAACTGCACACCTATGTGGCTGCAACAAACTCTTCAAACACATAAAATGCTGACCACTATTAGCATGGTATATATAAGGTCTTCTTTTCCAAGTGTTACTTTTTTTTCCCAGAGAACCCTAAATCTCAGATTCTATTCTGAAGGCCTTCCTTCTGGGAAGCAGACTTTAAAGTCTGATCTCCTTCAGGCAGTATTCTCTCACTTGATAGTGATGTATCTCTAATTACTCAGAGCCAGGTTCTGCAGCCTCACTTTCATATGATATCACTCCACATCCTTTCAGTGAGTTTTCCTCACATTAATTTAGTTTAAGGAACCAAAGTTTCTTTTTTAAAAAAAAAAATTTATGTCATGTACTTTTACATGATTCCAAGAGGGAAGAGAGGTGTAGACTAGCTTTCACTTTGAAAGGAATAAACTGTGCTTCTACAAGGTCAAGGCCTTCTTAGAACACACAGCATGTACTATAAAGTTAGGCATGAGTGCATTCCTTTGGCTCCAAGGTTGGAAGTCTGCTCGCTCCTTTCTCTGTGGTCCGTGGAAGGAGGCTTAAGTGCTTAGTGGGGTGAATAGATAGAAATCAGTAGTTGGTGGAGAGATAAAAAGTCAGAGGTGCAGGGATCTTTCTTTGTCATCTCTAGGAGTAAGACCTTCACTCTCAAGAAACCAAAAACTGTCTCCAAGATAGTACGGAGAGTGTTCCAAGCTCCTGACATGAGCGGGATGCTGGAAGTGTTGAATGGTGAGGAATGCCAGAGCTGGTGGGGGGCTGCGGGGGCCTTACCATTGTGGGAGTTAAAGAGGGAGGAGGGTTCAGTTTCTAGGTGTGAATAGAGTTCACAATGGAGAAATGATAACATGTGTTGATGATGTAGTCATAGTTAATGGGGAGTGACCAGCTGTCTTGTTCACTTCTCATTCTTTTGTTTTAATATTTTATATAGACCCCAGTCCTTCCCATGACCTGAAGCAGAAATAGATTGTAGTGTTGACTCCTTTGCTTATACTTATTATTATGGATTTTTGTCGTTTCAGAACTGCCATATGTGCGCCGCTACTGGGGTAAGGAGAAATCACAGTATCATGAAGCCACCCTGTTCTCATATTTTTAAAGAATTTTACATTGTACACTATGTCATGTGTTGTTTTTTTAAATTGATTTTTTAGAGAGAGCGAGCAAGGGGGGGAGAGAGAAACAGAGACAGAGACAGGAACAGAGACAGAGAAATATTAATTTGTTGTTCCATTTATTTATGCATTCCTTGGTTGCTTCTTGTATGAATACTGACAGGAGATGGAACCAGAAACCTTGGCATATCAGGGTGATGCTCTAACTAACTGAGCTACCTGACTCAGGCTAGGTCCCATGTCTTAAGACCCATGTTTTTCTTCCCAACACACAGATATATGTTACATTTCTTCAATGTTACAGCTCTCCCCAAGAACCAAACTAAGTTCTTTCCAGTTCCCACTCTTGTTACTTTCAAGATCTCCTTTACAATGTCACAAAAAAAAGGTATATCATATCCCTCACCCTACCCTATAATTTTTCTACAGTTCACGTGACCGTGGATCCTCCTGAAGATAAATCAACACTTGCTGTTTCTGAGAATCAAAGAGAAATCAGGGTTTGCATTCCTTGGATATTACTTTTTTGCCATAATGATGATTATGATACATTTGGTGTCCTCGGCTCACCATTTATTACATCAGGGAAACATTACTGGGAGGTAGACATATCAGAGAAACGTGCCTGGGCTTTGGGAGTATGTGGTGAAAAATTCCCTCACTCAAATATGAAGAGTTTTATTAAACAAGGTAACAATTGTGAACAGGTTTACTCTAGATATCAACCTAAATATGGCTACTGGGTAATAGGATTAGAGAATCAATCTCAATATAATCCTTTTGCAGAATCTTCCTCCTCTAATCCCTTGAAATTAACCCTCTCCCTGACTGTTCCTCCCCGTCGTGTTGGGGTTTTCCTAGACTATCATGCTGGCACTGTCTCATTTTTTAACATCACAGACCATGGGTCTCTTATCTATAAATTCTCCTCATGTTCCTTTCCTCAGAAAATTTTTCCGTATTTCAATCTTATGAAATGTAATGGTGCCATGATACTGTGTTCTCCAAATTCTTAAGTCGCTTACACCCTCAACCACCTCTATGTAGTGCCACTGGCCTTGGATACATCTCATGAACTGAGCTTACCTGCACCATTCTCTCATCTTTCTCTTGTTGCCCCTCCTCTTTTTCCCATTTGAACATCCTTCATTCATCATGAGGGTGTACCATTTGCCTCATGTCATATTTTCCCCCAAATCGTGTTGCACTAAGAAAGGATCTTAATTCATCTCTTTCTGTACTCCCAAAGAAATCACTAATGCCTCATAAAAGTATAGTTATGGAGGTGACATCTCTACCAATTTCTACTATCTCATTTCCTCTGCTGCTGAATGGCAAGATGAATGAAAGCTTTTCAAGAACTTTTGTTTATGATTAAAGACTTTGTCTAGGAATCATTGACTCAGAGTGAGTCTCAAAGGTATGTCAGTTTACCCATCATGTTCTTTATGCATCAAGGAGTAAAGGAGAATTTTGAAGAATAGTATGTTCTAAGAGTGGAGCTTTGTATCCACAGTATCTGAGGTCAAGCCCAGTCTCTCCAAATATACACAGTGAATCGTGAATAAGATACTTGAATGCTGATTTCATTTTCTTAAAATAATCCTGGTATAAAAATCACACCAGAAATAGGATTATTGTGAGAAGAAAAATGCCATTAAGTATAAAATATATAACTGTTTCAAACATTTTCTCTACTAATTATTAAAAAAATACAAGCTGTGCCAGTGTCTCATGAACAGGTTTGTGCTTACAGGGGCAATGGGGTGGTTTCTATCAAAGTCTCATGTTTCAGATCCCAGATACATCTGTGTCACCACCAAGGCCACGCCAGCTCTGCCTGTGTTAGACCAGTGTGTTTCTGTGTGTGTGTGAGTGTTGTACATGTGATGGTGAAATTATTATTATTATTTGGGCGTTACTACATATTAGCCTTAATCAACTAAACTACATTCTAGAAGACTCAGTTTATCATTTGTAAAAAATATTAAAAAAAGAAATTTACTTGATTCTGAAAATTAAAAAACAATGTTTTCAATAACTTCCATCATTTCTGGCACACAAATACTGATCAAGTGTGCTGTCTATTCTTTTTTTGTTGGCCTCTCACTGTGACTGAAATAAGTAATTTTAAGTAGACATATTAGTTTACTTTCAACATTATTATCCTTGCTTATGTTTTTAAAAATGATAAAAGAATTACAACTTTCTTTAGATTTTAGCTAATTGAAAAATAAATATTTCTATAAAGCTTCCTAGTCTAATTTTTTTCACTCTTCTATAGTAAATATATTCCATTGAAAGTGAATTTCAACTCAGGCTCTGCTTGCCCTGTGTAACAAAGTCATTATTTACAGTAATAGAGTAAGTATAAGAAGTACAATTGCTGGATTTCTTGACAACAGTACAGGTAATCATTCTCCACTCCCATCCCAAGTCAGCCTTAACTTTTGCAGTAAGGTGAAAGTTTTCGGGAACAGAGGGATAAGCCAGTTCTTTTCCTTTAATGGCATAGCAGGAGCATTATTTCTGCAATGGGTCTTCCCAGAAATTCAGTACTTGGTGGAATCCCCTTGTCTTTTAGCATTTTTTATTGTCAGCTCTTTCCCAAAAGAAGTAGGAATTTAAATAATTATATACAATAGATATGTTAGCATAGGTAGGTAGCAAGTTCTGAATATGAAAAGGAACAAACGTAATTCAACATTGAGCATAATAAACTAAGGAGCTGAATCAAATATGAAGCCTAATAAACTGAGGAAACTAAATGGGATACTGGGACTGCTTCATTAGGAAGTCAGAGAATTCTAGGCAGCCTGATTTACTAGGAACTATAGCATTAACTGACTCATTCACACAGTCCAGGAGATCTGACTTCCAGACTTAATCCTCGGAGCTGGCAGGAAAGTACTTCTGGGACACTGGTGGCCGGGTGTCAGGATTTTGAGGAGAATAGAGGGGGAATTTCTCTACTGGACACAAGCACAGTAAAAATATAAATGGACTAAGGAGAGGTAAGCACATGCACCAGATGACGCAGCGCAAATTTTGGACATGCGCAATAGAAATCAAGATGGCGACATGAAGGGACAGTGCTCAGCCTGAGAACAGAATCAGACCGGATAGGGAATGCAAACCTCCGTGGTCCAGGGAAGGGACTGGTTAGGGGGAGGGCCCAATCCAGGCCTGGGGAAGTCGGTAAGTGGGTTGGATGACAGATTTCTCATCACCGAGAACCAAGAAACTATGTGGAGGGTTATCAGGATTCTTGGGGCATTGGCTGCTAGAGCCTGCTTGCCCGCTACATCCCCCAGGGTGTATTATTTCCCTTCACCCCAGCAAAATCCTAACACTACGTTTAATCCTTTCCATGTGGCTTCCCTTTGAAATTCCTTTCTTAGGACACCACAAAAGAACCCATTTTCAACAGCAACGGCTTTCTGGTAACCCAGATGGTATTTGAACACACAACCCCCAGACAGACATATCACAAAAATTAATTAAATGGGCTGTCTGGTCATCCTTGCATGCCCATAAAAGTGTAAGTAAAAATTAATTAATTTAAAAAATATGCTTCCTTCAGAGTTATCCTTGTGATGAGAAATGAATAGATCTTGTTGAAGATATTTTATAAAACTTCTCATCAATTAAAAAAGAACACATTCTTGTCACTTTGGAGCCCAAGATAATCCAAGTCCATTTCTCACCTGTCTATTTTAGCCTCTAAACTAGATAATAAATAAATAAATATAAAAAACAGATAAAAGGTATCAAAGAGGCATTTTTGGACAAAACTGTGAATTTTTTATTAATAAAAACTTCCTGTCTGAAACTCCCCTAACTGCTATCTGGCCTCACTATCTTTTCTATCCAGCCTTCCCTCTCCTGAAGGGGTCTACATCCCTGAGATTCCATCAAGGTATTAGTCATTTTATAGTTCATAACAAGATATTACATCCTGTGCTTCTGTAAGGGTCTCAGCTATCCAACTTTTAATATTTAAAAAAACATATCTCTTGCCAGCAGTGGCCCCCTCCTATTTCCTGCATGATGACATCCATGATTGCATCATAGTTTATGTTTCTCCAGGAATATAGTCAGACACGTTGAAAACAAGAACTTACAGAGCAAAGGTTCTGCTGCTGCTCCAGGCTGCAACCTCAGTTGCCACAAACCACATACACCTTTGCAGACGTCCCTTGGAAGCTGTTTCATATAGAGGCATTTCCTCACACAATTCCTCACAAGTGAGCAAACAGATGCATTAGTGAGATTGCTTGCTGAGGTGCCTCAAAATTTCCCATGAGAAAATCCTGTCTATGCCTGTTGCCTGAGCATTAGAGGATAAATTTCAGTACATAAACGTTGTTAGGGAACAACTGATCAAATGGTCATGCTTGATAGTCCTCAAGGATATGAATGTCAGGAAAATGTAATAAAATAGTACCTAACCAATTATTGCTCAAATGAAATACTTTTGACCTCCCAGTCTCTTCATTGAAATTTTTTAACAACGTTCTTTCATTTGGCTAAAGAAGTAGTATTGGTTCTAAGTACATGTAACATAATTATAATAGCAATATAACAAACACTTTGGCCTCAGATCTCAGATGTTTATTCATTTTTAATCATTCATTTTTTCTTTATGACAAATATTTTAAATATTTACCCATATGCTTAGTCCCCAGGACATCAGAGGAAATATATACAATAAACATATGTCAGGCACCATGCTTTGTGTGGGGGACATATCCCTGGGTTAGGTGGACAGAGTCACTGCCCTCATGGAATTTATAGGTCACTTGGGGCGGGCAGCAGACATTACATAAATAACTTTCAAATGAAGACATGATTATAAGTATGAGAAGAGAAAACCAGGCAAAATACAAGATGCAATGAGAGTGTATTACCAGAATCTGGAGATACGAAGCTTTAAAGATTTAGATTTCTTCTCCCAGTTGTTTTGTATTATCATATTTTCCCTTAATATCTAAAGCATTAGAGATAATGGTAGACTAGTTAAATGTCTATCATGGCTAAGAAAAGAATTGTTCCATAGGGAAGATTTGTAGAAGGACGAACATTGGCGGTGTAACTTGAGGCTTTTTTTGGTAATATAGAAGGGAAATGGTCACAAAAATCACCTTAGGATTTCATAGGTTACTTATCGTCATGGTTGATGAAGTGGAGGAGAAGGAGCAAACATAAGATGTGACTGGACTTGATGACCAATAGTTTTTGGGCCAATTCTTTTGGTATTTAGAAAGTTATCACATCTATATTATTGAATTATGCCTCTGGTCTAGAGTAGGTCAAAGCAAGAGCATAATAAAATGCACACCTATTATGAGTGTTATTGGTATAATAACAAATCCCATTAAAGATCTGAAGAGAGAATAATGTGTGAAGGTGGTGTTTTGTGGTTATGTTAAATAGCTAGTATCTCAAAGGGAGCTGCGCAGTGGAGCTGAGTGAAGTGATGCCTTGGTTATGATTTTAAAGGCCTGCTCGAATAAAATACAGAACATAGGAGCTGCTGAAAATCAGCTAAGAACAGCCAATGACAATTTTTAGAGTGTTTTGTACTTCTAACAATTATTTAAATCTTTAATCTGCCATTTACAAAGAAGTTTCTTAATTAATCTACTTTATCCAATTATAATTTACCTGAAAAAGTTACACCACTGTCCAATAATTCAAACAGACCTATTTCAGTCATGAGTTTTAATCTTCTTTGATTCTTCCCTTCCCCAGAATTGTGGTAAAGTTGTAACAAAGGACAGATTTCCAACCCAAAGTAAAAGGTGCTATTCACTATATGGTTCACCAGTTGTCATCCTCAGGTATAACAGGACACTGTTGAAAAGGGCACCAATAATTTTTAAAGTGGTGTAATTGCTTTAAAAATATTTGATTTCCTATATACAGAGAAAGTTTATATCTCTAATGACTTAGTCATCTCAAATTCACCTCAGTTGCCTACACATACCCATCATTAACGGGATCAAAACTACTTGCTAATATTGTATAATGGTATCTGTTTGATGGAGACAAAAGTAAAAACATTAACATTCTTCTAACTACCTGGCATTTCTGTGCCCCCTTACTTCACAAAGCACTTGCCAACAAATAATTTTTACTACTTATCACAATATCCTGAGGCAGACAGCCATTGTTTTTCAAACACAGTAACACAAGACTCTGAGGTTATGTTATGCATTCACTTTTCTTAGGAATTGATTTTATAATTTAGATTTAAGTTTTCCAGATAAAAATCTCCTTGTGTGGGACCAAGGAATCTGTATTTATGTAAAGATCTTCCAAGTGACTTTGTTTCAGACTCTCCAAGAATAGAATTTAAGAATCATTGGTGTAGAACAGTCATAAAAAAAATTAAAGATGATAAGATGCAAACTTTATTTAAAAATGACTATAACGTGTTTTTGTATCAATGAGCATTGCACACCTACTCCGTAAGGGTATGACTCAAATGTGCTATGCTTGACAGTTCTCTTAAATTAAAGAAGTGAAAAATCATTTTAATTTTTTCCATCACCTACACCTTCTACCTCAACCGCCCCTGCCCCTGCGGTCATCGCACTGTTGATTGCCACGTATCAGTGAATCTCAGAGGGAAGGGAGGAAGAGAAAGAGTAGTTTCAAGATGATACGCTCAACACGACTAAGTGATTAAATGGGGAATGGAAACCAGGAAAAGGGAGGAGTAAAAAATAGTTCTGATATCCAGGAAGCTGGAATTTTGTGATATTCTTAACAATAAGAAATCTATGGCAAGAGAGGTTTGTGTGGGGGGAGGCAGGTTGTTGAGGAATATGTTGCAAGTGTCTCAAGGGGCATCCATGTAGTTTGAATGGGCAGCATCTGGAAGCATTTTGAAATAAGAATCTGTGTTAAAAAATGATGAAACAAGTGAAGGATGAGGGTAGGGGGATGGACGGTCAGATAGAGAGAGAATACTAAACTATAAACGACAAATCTTATATTCTGGTTTGTCCCTAAGATGTACTCAGATCCTTCGCTCAATGTCTGCAGTTTATCTCCACTAACACACTTTAATCACATTGATTCCTGTGCCTGTGTTTTTTTCAGTCCAGAAACAGTTAAAAATCATTAGCGGAAGAGCTGTCATTAGATTCCTTTCCAAAAGGAGAGAGATGTAGAGACTAAAGGGAACACAGAGCCAGAGTGAGAATGAATGTATTATTCCCTGGTCCTCAGAACATAATATGCTGGAATGTGGACCACAGCTAATAATACCAGAATTTGATTATAACCACAGCAATCATGTTGACAGCACCACCACCAATAGAACAAAACCATGATTTCCATGAACATGTTAACTGTAATTAAAGTTACATCCATAAGAATATACTGAATGTCTTTCTATTTAAATATCACTCCCCATACTCAATGTTTTGTAATAAATTTGACATGATGAGGAATAACATAGGTCACTTCCTACCTTGATAAATCATATGTTGTTGGGTGCAGGACCAGATGAAGAGGAATATTCAACGATGATATCATGGGATGACAAAGATGACAAAGGAAAAGGGCCAGCTTTTGGAACACAATTACTGCAAAATGTACATGATTATCAAGGCACCTGCAAAGCATCATGAGTTTACTTGTTAGAAATAACTTCATTCGTACCCTTAAAACTAAAACTTTCAATATGGCTGACTAATTTTGCCTGAATTAATTGCACTTCCTGCCTCATAGACATGTGAATCAAGAATAATTTATACGGCAAGAGTAGCTTACCTTTTCTTACCTTTTTGTGGGTTATCAACAATACCAAAACATCTGTGCTTTAATTAGAAAAACATCGATGTTTCAGCTGCCCCGCATGTCTCATATGAGTTAATGTGTGAAGATGGCCGAGCTCTGCAGTGTTGTCAGTAGGGATCCTTGTCTGGAGCTTCCCCATCTTGTAGCTGCACCATCTGATACATGTCCTCAGAAGAACAAGAGTGATCACAGGACTTGAAAGCATGTGTACGAAATAGAAATGTTTCATATCTGTTTATTTAAAAACAAATTATATTTCATTTTATTTATTGTAACTCTATTTTTATTATTACACTATGAGACGCAATAGTTGTACCTTTTACATTTATTCTTTTTTCTTTTTTATTTAGTTCATTCTGCTTTTGACTCATGGTGTAAAAAGGAGCAAGCTTTTCCCATAGGAAGTGAGGAAAGTGCACGACGATGGAGGTGTGAGGGTTACCCAGAGAAAGGCTACACGGGAAGAGCACCGTCTGTTGACCTCCTGGGTGCTGGTAACTTGTCACTGACACAGTTGTGCCACCATTATGTCTGGAAGGCTTCCTCGTCTGGCCTGCCAAGGCCAGGAAGGAACGAAAGCTGCTAATTAACTGGTGGACTGCGAAGTTCAATGCGGTTGTGGAAGAATTTCCTCAGCAGGCTCACAGTGAACAACCTTTCTAACATTTTATTTTTACCTCTCACGATGACAGCTGCCACCACTGAGCTCAGAGTACTAGAGTTCTTTCACTGATTCTCCTCTGCATCACACTCTGCATTTCAAAGGGCAGCTCTCCAGACTTTCTGGATCATGATTTTGTCCCTAGTAAGGTATTTAGGACCTGAATGTAGATAAGCTTAACTGATCGTTACAGAATTGAATAGAAATTCTGAGTATTCAGGCAAGCGGTAGACTATATCATTGGAATTCACTTTCTTCCTATTCAAATATTCTCACTAGAATAATCTGCAAAGGGGGAAAACACAGTGACTGGGTGCTATGTTGTAGGTCCTAGAACTTACTGAAGCATTAACTTCCCCAAGTGTCCCACTAGGTGGCACTGTTCTTAAGTTTCTGTTCTCTTTCCTTTGTTTCATTCCTATCCTTTGCATTTCAGTTTCATTTCTCACTCCTTTCCTGTTGAGAACTCCTCTGTGGAGAGCTGGTCCCTGGCTTGTTGAGTAAATGTTGAGCAGGCCTGCAGCTGACCTTCTCCACTGGTTCAGTTTTCCTGCACTTCTCCTGTAGGTAAGTGGGGCAGTTTCTGAGGACGAAGGAAAGGAGGCTTTGTGGGAAGAGACTGAATGTGATTGGTGACTTAAATTGTGGTTTGAAGCTGCTCTGGTTATGGTTGTCCCTGCTGAGGTGGCAGAAAAGAGGAACATTGGGCCTGGGGAAAGAGCACCTTTAAAGAAGGGAGGTTTGAAAGAGCAAAGAGTCATACTTGTTTCTTGGAGGGACCATTATTTCTCCAGGCTGTTACTCTCATCTTCCTCTTCTCCCGTTTTGACTTTCTTCCTTGCCAAGGTGAGCCAGAATCCTCAGACCCTTTGTTGTTTCCCAGGCAGATGATCCCTTCCTCCTTTTCCCCACTGAAACCTGTGAGGTGGAGCCTTCTTCTCCCTCTTCCTGTCGCCCAAGCTCCTGGTGGGGGCCAGAAGAAATCAGAGCCCTTCCTTGGGAGCATCTGGTGGGGCAGGTTTAGGGGCCCTGCCAGGGATGAGCGAGAGCCTCTTGAAGCGGATCCTTTTACTCTTTTGTTAAATTACTGTCATCTTTTACAAAAATGTATTCTTAAATATACAGTGAGTTCCAAGACGATTCATTCTAGCTCTAAGTGGCAGCAGGTGTTATGGAAAGGTACTCAGATGTTAAAACGGGACTGGAACTAAGGATCACCATTTCCCCAGGCACTGGAAACAGCTCACTTCTGGCCAGATTTCTTGGTATCGCCTGTGTCCTGGGGGGGCCCTTCCTCATAACCTTTGCTTTCAGCAACTCAAGTTTCTTCTGCTCCCCTTTTTGATTGTTTGAGTTCCTTGTTTTCCTAGCCCAACTTCTTGGCCTGCATCTTGGGCTGCTTCAGGGGCTTTTTCTTGCCACCTTTGAGACCAGACATGGCTCTTGCCGCCCCTTCCCTAGACCCTGATCCTTTTACTTTTGTCTTGGTAACTTCTGGCAGCTGTGCACAACCTTCCTGATAAATGATCAGCCTTTTGGCAAGCCTGGATGATCAGGTTGCTGCCCATCCTGTGGCTCCCACCTTGCCACTTTTTTCTTTGGAGGTCCAGAAGGAGAACCTCTGAATTCCACAGCTTACTCTGACCTCACTTTACCCCATAACCCTCCAGTGTTTTCTCCTGCTTCAGAACATATTCTGCATCATCTTAGACACACCCTTCCATTGTTTATTACATTAACCCGTTACTTAACATTTCCCTAGCTTGGCGCTAAAAAAAAAAAAAGGAGTTGGGGATTTTTCAGAAAGAGCTCCATCGTAATTTCACCTTTGTGCTACTTTTCCCTTGATCTCTCTGTTACATATGTTTTAATGCAAGATGTATTTTCCTTTCTTCCTTCTTCTCAGAGAACATGAGTCTGTCTAAGGTGGACAAGGTTCATATCTGGTGTTTATTAATTGAGTTCTCAGGGGTTATTACAAGTCACCCAACAGGGGAAAGTAAAGTACTTTGCATTTTGAAATTTTCATTAAAATCAAAAGAACAAATGCATACAGCTCTGGTTAAAAGAAAAAACTATTTACTTCTATTGAACACACAACAAATATTATGTACTTACGAAAATTACATTTTGGGATAGAGAGAGAAGATATAAAACAAGAAAAATATTTCTATATTATAAACGTAAAACTCTGGTAAAGGGCTTTGAAATTTTAAATAAAATTCAGGTTAGTCATCAGTGTGAGAAGTTGATTTTGTTTAGAGTTTTCAAGGAAATGATGTTTTTTGTACTGACTGATTAAGGAACATAAAGGCAGCCAGTTTGGATTGGAGGGCTGGTGGGCTGAGAGGATGAGGCAATAGAAGGGGATGTGTAATTGGGCCGAACTAGACTGTGGTAAGATCAACTCACTGATGATGTGCATCTGAACAAAGGAGTCACACCGTTAATGTACACTTTAAAGTATCACTTTGGCTGATGGTGAACAATGATGTTAGAAGACTGTAATGAGACCAGTGACAGGATCAGGAAGACTAGTGGGAAACCATTTCTGGATCCAGGTGAAAGACTGAGTTGGTTGGGACCTAATTTGAAGACAGTACTGCAGGGTTTTCTGATGAACTGACTGTGAGAGAAAAGGATGAGATTAGGGGTAGCTTTCTGAAGACGACCTCTGTTACCATAAGACTTCTTGGAAACAAATTGACCTGAGAGCTGAAGTTCTTGAGAGGAGGTTCATTAATGTGATGCTGATTAAACCCTGGACTTGAAGGATGAGAAAGAAGAAGAAAAAAAAACAATAAATATAGATGAATGGGGGAGGGAGGGAGTTGCAATATTTCTGAGGTGGCCAGGTGTCTGGATGCCAAGAACAGGCTCACCTTCTCATGCGCAGTTTTCTTCAAGGTGCCAAAGAGGGTCAAGAATGTTGGCTAAAGCCCTCAGAGGACTTTTACAACATTGTGGAGACACGTACATTTTCCTTGTCTGACCTGCACAGGTACAGAAAACCTCTGTGCAGACAATTAGGGTATAGTGAGATAAGAAAACTGAGACCCTAGTTGGCCCTTACCTTACTCTGTAAAAACTCATACATTGTACCATCTCCAAAAGCAAGAATACATTCTGTTTCTGTCTGTCTATCTCTCTTAAGTGGAAAGATTTCACTTAATGGTATAATGCTTCTTCGATGATAGAATACAGAAAATGAAGAAAAGAAAAACAAACACGTGTGTCCATTTTCTAGGGCTTCCATACAAAAGTACTGTAAACTAGGTGGCTTAACTGAAATTTGTTCTCACAGTTCTGGAGGCTAGAAATAAAACATCAGTGATGTTGGCAGGGCCGGGTCCTCCCAGAGCTGTGAGGGAAGCAGCAGTTCCACGCCTCTCTGCTGGGTCCACTCCTGATAGTTGACTTGCACTCGCCAGCATTCCTTCTTTTATAGTTGAATCATCCTGATCTCAGCTGTTACCTTCACCAGGCATTCTCCATGCCTGCACGTTTATCAGTATAGAAATTTCTCCTTGCTATAAGATTACAGTTGTGTTGGATTAACGCATATCCTAATGATTTCATTTTAACACAATCACCTGCAAAGACAGTCTCTAAACAAAGGTACATTCCAACATTCTAGGGTTAGATTTCAACATCTTTTAGAAGGACATAACTAAATTCATAATAGCCTTTAATGTGTTCTTGGAACAGGGCAGTTTATTTCTCCAGGATTTGGCCTCCCTACATATTGAGTCTTCTCTCTGATGACAGGTGCCTCATTGGAGTTTGTGTCCTTTGGGTCTCTGCCATGTGTTTATCCTAAGTATATGAACACACCTCTTCCTCCATAAAAACACACCCATTTTTGTGCCTACTGACACATTGCCTTTTGTCCAGGCCAAAGTATAGGCCCAAAATCTACAAACACAAGACTCCCCAGAACTACCCAGATGGTCTTGTTCTCTCTGTTTCTACACACTCATTGCATTGGGTATCTATCTATTTCTTGCAACCTCTACCTCTATTTGATCTGTGTAATAGTGGAGAGAACATGAATGGCATTATTCATAATGGTATGTGTTCCAGCAGCTCTACCTGTTTTAAAAGAATTACCTTGAACCCTGTAAGTTATTTATTTTATTTATATGTTTAAAGAATATTCTTTTTTATTTTTAAGTTTGTTCTTCTTTTGTTTTAATTATTTTTCAATTAAAGTTGACATTCATTATAATTCTGTATTAGTCTCATATTTATAGCATCATGTGTAGACAATCATATACTTTACAGAGCAGTCCCTCCCTAACTGATATTTCAAGTACCCACCTGCACCATACATAGTTATTACCATATTATTGACTATATTTTCTATGCTCTACTTTTACATTCCCATGTCGACTTTGTGACTATTTTGTGTAATCCTTAATCTAAGAAGTGATTACTGATTTTTCAAAAATTTCATATAAGAAATAAATAGGTCAAGGTAATTTCTAAATTACAACTGGTTACAAAATTGTTAGTAATAAAATGAGGTCTCTGTTGTGGTCTTTGCTGCCTCTGTAGGTTTCTCTGGGGAACGAGTTGGAGGGCATGGGGACGCTCTGTGTGGGACAGGTGTGTTGGCAAGGAAACAATTCTCGGGTATAGGAGAACTGCTCATAATGGGATAAAAGTGAAAGCTGATTAAAGAATTCCAACCTTCCATGGAGAGATAGGGAGCGTCTAGTTTTCTGTGTTCATCAAACCTTGTGTTCCTGTGTGATGCCCTCTTCTAGGCACTGAGGACACAGCAGTGGACAAAGCCGTGTCCAACCTATGCATGAATTCATTTTTAAGAAGAAAAAATAAACAATTAAAGAAAGGTGTTCTACATTTTAAAGTAATATAAGAAAAATATAGCAGTTGTAGAGCAAGTAATGGTATTAGCAGTTATGCTATAGATACACTGGAGCAGGCCCTTCTGATAAGAGGTCATGTGAGAGGGAGATTGAATAAAATGTGAGAACTCAGGGTGACGTCAGGGAGAAGATCAAGCCATGCAGAGACAGACAAGTTCAAAGCCTTTGAGACAACAGTGGGTTTTGTGCTTTTAATATAAAGATTATATTTGTTCCATGGAAGAGAAAGGTAGGATGGATGAATCTCAATGACAGCCTGCAAAGTGGAAGAATTTTGACTCAAGAAACCAAATGATTCCACTGTTATGAATTTATCAATCAAGGTAAATCTATAAAAACACAAGGGAGATTAATGGTAGCCTGGGGCTCGGGGTCAGAATGGATGTGACTGCTCATGGCATTAGCTTTGTTTTATAATAAATATGTTCTAATATTGGAATTTGGTGATAGTTATACCATTCCATATATTTACTAGAAATTATACTACTCTTACAAAATACATTTAAAGTAAATATAAGTCCATGAAATTGTTAAAAAAATAAGTCATGTGAGTCATAGGGTTAGGTCATTCCACACTGAGAGAGGAATAAGTATGAAAGCCTAGCAGTGCTGCAGAAAGGTTAGTGTATTTATCATGTTGAATGTGTTTGGGGGAGGGGAAAAAATAAGACTAATGATGGGCAGCACAAAGCTCTCAGTAGGAAGGGCCTCAATTTGTCCTTCTATCCAGTAGAAAAAGAGAAAATAGTGATCAGTCATTGCTCTGAAGAGATAAAATTTGTCACATGACATGAAATAAGAGTGAAGCGTTTGAAAGCATTAGGAAGAACCCTTTTCATTCTGTCACTGACCTACCTTCTCTCTTTTCCTTTCCTAACTGAATGCTAATGTTTTTTCCCATTCTTAATCTCTGCACATCAGTTTTCTTCCTCTTCCTGCCATTCTTATCCTGCCCCCTCTGTATTACCAGCCCCTCAGGAGTTTGTGAGAAAGAAGAGCCTCCAGAGTCAGGACAGGAAGAAGCCAGGGGAGCTTGGCCATGGATTTTTCATCACAAGTGAGCATTCAGGAGGTGACCTGCCCCATCTGCCAGGAGCTCTTCACAGAGCCCATGAGCTTGGACTGTGGCCACAGCTTCTGCACAGCCTGCATCACTGAAAACAGTGAATCAGGGAGCCCCATAGGATTGGAATGCTGCTGTCCGGTTTGCCAGAGCAGATACCAGCCTTGGAAACTCCAGTTAAATTGGGAGCTGGCGGACACAGTGGAGAAATTCAGGGAGGTCAATGGGAGTCCACACCAGCAAAGGAGGAGAGATCTCTGTGAGCACCATGGGGAAGATTACTGTATCTTCTGTAAGGACGATGGGAAGCCTATTTGCAGATTGTGTGTCCAGGAGCACCAAGGTCACCAAATGTCTCCCATGGCAGAGGTGGTCAAGGAGTATCAGGTAAGTCCCAAGACAGGGAAACATTGCACAGAATGGTACCTGAAGTGAAATCTTCTCTTTTTAATCCTATCCATTCCCCTTGTCTTCATAGATCTGAGCCTTGCATTCTCTTCTCATACCCTTGGCTCAGCTTCTGAGGCTTGAAGAGCATTTCTGTGCATTTGTTCATTTTCTTCAAGAATAAGCATAGACCTCACAGTCTTAGCAAAGATGTTTATGACTGAGAGTGGCTTCCCAAGATAAGTTCTGATTGCCACTTGAACAGATGGGATTTTTAGGAATATGTTTGCTTAGATGAGAGAAAAGGGACCATGAGAGGATTGAACTTTACTTGCTGCAGGATCAGGTCTTCCTCTAGGGAAAGAGAGATGCATGTTACTGTTGATACAGGGGTGGTAGCTTGCATGACCCGCGATAAAAGATACATTCGCCTCCTCTGATTTCTCTCTACATTCTCAGTTTTAATTGCCAGTTTCGTTTCTGAAACTTACGCTCTTCTAAGGTGAGCCTGATTTCTTCTCCATTTATTCTTAATCCATGTTCTGAGGGAGCTCATAGCTATGATTTCTTTCTCACAGGAGGAGCTCCAAGAAGCTCTGAAGAAGGTGATGCAGGAACAGCAGGAAGCTGAGCAGTTGGAAGCTGACATCAATGAAGAGAGAACTACCTGGAAGGTAGGAAGACATTATTCCTGAGGGAGTCCTGAGACAGGAAACTGGGCAGCATCTTGACCCAAGTACAAGGAGGTCCCTTCCTCCTTGGTACCACACAATGAATGAGCCCAGAAGACATTTGATTAGTCCTCACTCAATTCCTTCCCTACTGAGTGTTAAAGGCTTCAGAGTAGACATGTTAGAAGTGAAAGCAGCTGTTTTGGAAGGAAAGACACAGAGGGAAGCAATGTAAAAATTATTCATGAATCCCATGACCTATTTCCATCATCAAGTATGAAGCTCTGATACTCCCAGGAAACTCATTAAGGAAGGCCCAGGATTCCTGGTTTTGAAAGTATAGGTGGAGGAGTTTCATATACAATGTGGCATGATTGCCCAGGACAGGTGTGTGCAACCCCAGCTTCATCCAGGCAGCACGTTGTGTCTCCTGGTGGGCCTTGAGGAAGAAGACTTGGAGAAATTACTCATGGAGGAGATCAAGGGAATATAGTAGGAAAAATGGGTTTCCCAGGAATTGATTTTTTCCTTTTCCCTCCTAAGTGCCTGAAGAAAATATTTCTTGTCTTGGCTCCCAAAGCTCATGAAAGGCTGACTGTCTCTTTCTCTTCTCATTCCCAAAGAACTGTGTGCAGGCTGAGAGAGAGAGGATTCTGCAGGGGTTTGAGGAAATGAGAGGCATCCTGGACAGAGAGGAGCAGAGGGAGCTGCAAAAGCTCGAGGAAGATGAAGAGAATGTGCTGGGCGACTTAACAGTGACTATAGACCAGGTGGTTCAGCAGAAGCAGTATGGGAACGAGCTCAACTCAGAGTTCCCACATCACAGGTGTGAATCACCTATAGACATGCAGCAGGTAAGACTTTGGAAGGAGCTCCCACAAACAAGATTTAGAGGAAACACAGATGTTAAGTTTTTTTCCTTTCTGGGCCCTGGAACCTTCTATCTCACTAAAGGTTCCATCGAACCCTAAGTACCCCTACTCTGTCATTCATTTCAAGGGCCATTGGGAAATTCAATATACAAGTGGCACGAGAATTTCCCATTACTATTATTTCTAAAGGGCTGTGCAAAAATTTGAGAGAAGAATCTTAATAGGCTTCTGTTATCTGTGATCTAACATTTGTAAGGCATTTCTTCACTGAGCTTAGTCAAACAACTCACATCTCTCTTTGTGTTTCATTTTGTTGTTATTTTAAGGAGTGGCAGATGTAGTGATAGATTAATACCTGGGTGAGGGATGAGCATGTATAAATATGCTAGTGTGTGTGTATTTGCACTGGCTTGGGAAAGATTGGAGGAAACCTATAGTGACTTGAATAAGAGATGGTACTGAATAAGAATGTTTAATTTCTTTTTCATGAAATTAACTGCATGACTGTGATTTTAAGCTATGAAATGTATGGAGACTCTTAGGAAATACCAGATTTTCTCTGCTTGATTTCTTGCCATTCTCCTTTGCTAGCTGAACAAGGATTTCTTTTTTTTTTTAATTTTTTTATTGCTGTTCAATTACAGTTGTCGCCCTTCTCTCCCCATTACTCTCCCCCTGTCCTAGTCACCCCCACCTCCCATGTTCAATCCTCCCTCTCCTGTTTTTCTCCGTGGGTCCTTTGTGCATGTTCCTTGATGCCCCTTCCCCTTGTTTATTGTTATCCCCCTCCTCCTTCTCTCCTCTGGTTACTGTTAGTTATTTCCTTATTTCCATGTCCTGGATACATTCTACTTGCTTGTTTGTTTTGTTGGTTAGGTTCCACTTATAGGTGAGATCATATGGTATTTGTCTTTCACCACCTGCCTTATTTCACTTAGCATAGTGCTCTCCAATGCCATCCATTGAGTAGGCATTCCTTCTCTCTTTCCTGCTGCATAGTATTCCAAATCCTGTCTCAAAGGGTAGGATTTCCTTCTCTCTTTCTGCTGCATAGTATTCCATTGTGTAAATGTACCACACTTTTTTTGACCCACTCATTTACTGACGGGCACTTAGGTTGTTTCCAGCACTTGGCTATTGTAAATTGTGTTGCTGTGAACATTGGTGTCCATAAGTTCTTTTGAATTGGTGTTTCAAGATTCTTAGGGTATAATCCCAGCATTGAAATTGCCAGATCAAAAAGCAGTCCATTTTTAGGTTGGTTTGTTTTTGGTTTTGGTGTTTGTTTGTTTTTTTAAAGATTTTATTTATTTATTTTTAGAGAAAGGGGAAGGGAGGGAGAAAGTTAGAAAGAAATATCAATGCGTGGTTACCTCTCACACAACCTGGGACCTTGCCTACAACCCAGGCATGTGCCCTTGAGTGGGAATCAAACCGGTGATGCTTTGGTTCTCAGGCCAGCACTCAATCCACTGAGCCACACAAGCCAGGGCTATTGTTAGCTTTTTGAGGAAATTCCATACTGTTTTCCACAGTGGCTGCACCAGGCTGCATTCCCACCAACGATGTACTAAGGTTCCATTTTCTCCACAACCTCTCCAGCACTTGTTTGTGGATTTGTTTATGATGGCAAATAGGACTGGTGTTGAACAAGAATTTCTTAATTTTGGCTCCAGTGCTGGAGTAATCAATTTCTATCTGCTAAATTTTTACTTCTGCTTTAAACACACACACACACACACACACACACACACACACACACATTTCTTAAGGTATAAGTTACATATGAAATCACCCATTGTAAGTATTCAATCATAGGAATTTTAATAAATATATTGAGATTCTTTATTTACTTTTTTATTTTATTATACTTGTCCCAATTTTCCCCTCTTGCCCTCCTCTGTCCAGCCCACCCCCTGCTGCATAGCCAATCCCCACACCATTGTCCATGTTCATGTGTCGTTCATACATATTCTTTTACTAGTCCCTTCCCTTCTTTCCACCATTATCACTCTCCCCATAACCTCTGGCCCCTGCCAGTCTGTTCCATATTTTCGTGTCTCTGGTCCTATTTTGCTCGTTAGCTTATTTTGTTCATTAGATTCCTTTTATAAGTGAGGTCATATGGTATTTGCCTTACACTGACTGACTTATTTCACTTAGCAGCATGTTCTCTAGTTCCATCCATGATGTTGAACCATGAACAAATTCAGTTCAACATTTGTGAAAAGACTCTCCCTTCTCCACTGAATTACTTTGGCACTTTTGCCAAATATCCATTTGCTCCAAATTTAAGGGTATATTTCTTATCACTCTTTTAAATAAATATGTATAGTTATCTTTGCACTGACACTCTAAACTTTTGATTACTATGGCTTCATAAAAAATTTTTCAATTGGGTAAGGTAATCCTATTCAATTCTATGGCAAAATAATTCTACGCTAAGTCAGTTCTCTCCAGGGATCATTTAAACACCTCTGCAGCAAGGGCCATTTGGAGGATTTTACTGCTGTCTCGTGGGTAGAGGCCAGAAATGCTGCTCATTCAGCTGCAAAGCACAAGACAGGTGCCATTGCAGAGAATTATCAGAGCCAGAATGCCAGTAGTGTCAAAGGTGAAAAAGACTGTGCTTGCTTATAAAATTTTCTATGAGAATTTTTCTGTATCTTGTTAATTTTTATTAAAAGCCTTGAGGGATTTTTATAGGGCGAGAAGATGGTGTCAGCTAAGGAATGGACTGTAAAGGACAGTTGTTTGTCTATCCAACTTCATTTAATTGCTTTTTTTTTAACCATCTCTTGATTATAGTTTGAGGAACTACTCTCACTCCATGTAGTTGATTAGGGTTGATAAAATCAGTAGCATTAGCAATATTGGTGCCTCTCAATGCTAGGTAAATTAGCATATTCTATTCCTACAGGTTTACCAATGTTGTAGTAATTATTTTAAGATATGGACCTGACCCAATTCAGGGCAATGATTTGTATGCTTAGAATTTTAGGGTTATGTCTAGAAATTCTCTTTTCTGCTAGGTAACATATCATGAATTGTTATTTAAACCAGGATATTCATGTTGACACCATATAGAGTATGAAAAGAAAGTCTATATGACAGGTAGAAAATAAGATTTTGAAAAGAAAAAACAGATCCTGATGATCATAGTTTTCCTAAAAATCTCGTTATTACAAAAGTTATACCTACTTCCTGAGTTTCTCTTTTACTTTAAATTTAAGCCAGTTTTAGCTGGGTTTTATGTTATGTACAATAACAACAAAAATCTAATACAGAGAGTAAATTTTTTTGAGGATGTACAGCCAAGTCTTGTTGATATAAAGGGTTTAGACTAAAAGGGGGAAAACCAAAAATATTGGTGTATTTCCATTAAAAAAAATAAGGCCAATAATGTTAAAATGGGGAAAAGAAGGTGGCTAAAAGAAGCTGACCATATGGACTGAACCGGCTCAATATGATGTTAAAATTTAGGGTAAGATATGCTTTTTAAGTCAGTGATGAAATGGATATTGATCTGGGCAATGCAGTGTTAAAGGTTGGAAAACAGTCAGTTGCATTTTAGGCTTTCTCTGCTTCTGGTTTCTGTGGTCTGTTTCATACTTAAAAATTGATGAGATTCTCCTCAGGTAGTGTGTAGAGGTACATAGAAAAGTAGAGGGAGGCCAGAGAACATTCGTTTGAGGAACTACTTTGCTTGTTCCTGCAGCAAAAGAGAATATACTTCCAGAGGAGTGTAATTATTAATTATTCATTTTTGATTCCCCAGAACCTGGAATGATGTCTGACAAATAGAAGATATTACTTTTACTTGTCTCTAGAATAAATAAAAGTGTAATGAATTAGGGAGTCTTCTCAAAAATGTATATTAAAAATTGTATGCCTACCCTTTTCCTTTTAAATACACTACATCTCCAGAACCTTGAAGCATCTTTCTAATATCTTTGCCTGAGTCCTCCGGGGTGGTTGATCTGGGTCTTATCTCTACAGTTTGCCCCCATTTATTTATTCTGACCATGTTTTTACTAGCAACATATCAAGAGGTTCTAGGGGTGTGAGGAGGACAGTGAGTAAATCTTTGTAAGGTAGGAGGGCTCATCACTCCCTTGAGTGTTGCCAGACAAAAAAGGAATGTGTAGTTAAATTAGAATTTCAGATAAATGGCACATCATTTTTTAGCAGAAGAGTATCATTTGTATTGCAGAGGTGATGATTGTACATGTTTGGAATTTGTCCACAATTAAATTTTAACTAGCCATGTTAATTTTCTAAATCTAAAAACCTTACACTTGATTTATATATTCTCTCTCTTCTGCAGGATGTGATTGACGTCATAACAAGGTATGTGTGCGAGACTAGGCATGGTCCTTCTTCTGTGTGATGACAGAATTATAACTGTAAGAATAATCTCGAATCAACCATAATTTTAGAAAATCACATAATTTTTAAAATTTTGGTATTTCATGGTTTCAAATTGCTGATGACAGGTGAAACTTTTTAGTGGGAGGGAACACGCGTGGTGGGAGGTTCCCACCACAGACACAGAGTCTGTGTGAACAGAAGCATTGGAAGCAGGGGCTGCAGCGTCAGAACTCAACGGCTTCACCCATTTGAGTCAGACCTCAGTCTCTGCCTCAGCGTTCGTTTCAGTACTTCACAGGTGCCTGTCTTGTCACAGGGAGAACCTTGTCCTCTTTCTCTGCCAGGCTCCCAAATTTTCTGCAAGGAGTTTTGCAAAGTCTTTTCTTCGGTTGCAGTAGATAAATAAATAACTCAAGTCTTGGGGAAAAACGACTTTAGTCCTAGTGCAATAATTAACCTCTTTTGCTTAAACACATTGGCATCTTATAGGGAAAAAAGTTTTATTTGTCTAAAGTTCCCTACCTACTTGACAAGCACCAGCACGTGAGATTCAGATCGTTATTAATCTGGATGTCATCGCTTCTCCTTACCCAAATATTCGTAATGTTTCCCCAGAGAATGTGACCTCATGTATCATTCTCAGCATCTACACTGAGATAACAGGCTTAGGAGGCCTTCAGGCTTTAGATGAAGGAGCCCCACACCTGATAGCCTGTAACTCTCAGGAGCAGAGTTCCAGAGCCTCTCCGCTAACCAACTGCCAGAGAACCCATATTTCTGGCCTTGTCCTAGAGGAACCACTGACAAAGCTTCTTCTTACACCGAATATTTTTTTAAGCACTAAAGAACTTTTGAAGGTACCATTATACGATGTAATACTATATTTTTAGAAGGTAGAGAGTAAAGAGTTAATTCTTCCATTTTAGGAGAAATACATGGCCTTCATGAGAAGAAGCCCTTCCCAAGGTCACTCACAGGCTAAATGGAAAGGTAGACATGAAGACATTTTTTCTGGCTGCAGTGTCAGGGGTCTCACCTCGCCCTCCCTCAGGCTCTTGAAGGAAGCAGAGTTGAGCGAGGAGGCATCATGGAGGGAAAGTTGAGGGAGACATTGGTCTTGGAGAGACACAAAGTCAGAACTGTGAGCAGTCAATTTTTTTCTTCTCTAGGAGCGAGATCTGGCCCTCGGAGAAGCCAAAAATTGTTTCCAGGAAACCAAAGAGTACATTCCGAGTTCCAGATCTCAGTGGGATGCTGCAGAAGTTTAAAGGTGAGGGGAGCCCGGGGAAAGGTGTGGGTGTGGGATTCTCCTAGTGTTAGAGCAAAATAGGGGAGTGGATGTTATTTCCACATGAGATGAAAGAGAAGTAGTCCTGACAGGAAGCGACAAATTCCTTCTGGTGAAGGTGCCAACATATCTCAGATGGAAGGGCCAGGTGTCCTCTCTTTCTCCCGTTGACAGCCTCAAAGGACTCCCCTTTTCTGTTCCCACTCGAGAGAAAGACAGGTACAGTGTTTCCACCTTTGCTCTAACAACATCATTGAAACTTTTGTCATTTCAGAGCTGACAGAAGTCCAAAGCTACTGGGGTAAGTAGTCACAAGTTCTTCAAATCACCATGTTCTGATCTCTTTTCAGAAGTTCTGGTATTATTAAGTGCCACAATCTTAGTACCGTGTTTTCCTCCCACATGTGCATACCAACAGCAGTTCTAAAGTGAGCTATCCATCACTGACCCGTTCCCTCATGTTCCTCCCAGTCGATTCCCAATATTCCTCCCCACAGTGTCACAAGACACACCTGCCTTGTGTATTCACCTGACTGTGTTATTTTTCCTACAGTGGACTTGATGCTGCATCCACTCAACGATCTTTCGAATGTTGTCATTTCTGCGGATCAGAGAGAAGTGACAGCTGGGCAAAATTCTATGATTAGTAATGTATATCCACATAATCCATGTAATTTTTCTGCTTTTGACGTTGTGGGCAGCCAGAATTTCTCCTCGGGGAAGTATTACTGGGAAGTTGATGTGTCTGGGAAGATTGCCTGGATCTTGGGGGTATACGGTAAAACAAGTAACCTCAATAAAAAGAAAAGCTCTGGGTTTGTTTTTAACCCAAATGTAAATAATTCAAACACTTACTCCAGGTTCAGGCCTGAGAATGGCTACTGGGTTATAGGCTTACAGAATGAGTCTGAGTACAATGCCTTTGAGGACTCTCCCACCTCTGATCCCAAGCTCTTGATTCTTTCCATGGCTGTTCCTCCCTGTCGAGTAGGGGTTTTCCTAGACTATGAAGCAGGCACTGTCTCATTTTTTAATGTCACAAACCATGGGTCGCTCATCTACAAGTTCTCTAAGTGTCGCTTTTCTCAGGCTGTTTATCCATATTTCAATCCTTGGAACTGTCCGCGTCCCATGACTCTGTGCCCGCCGGGCTCCTGAGCCCTCCCCACCCTCCCCCACTCCCGTGTAGCCCCCCTTGTCCTGGGGCCCACCTCCTGCCCCTGAGCCAGCTGCTCCATTCAGGCCATCTCTGCCTTGCTGTGTCCCTTCTTCAGAGCTTTTAGTCATTTTGGGGATTTGCAGTGTTTCTGATTTAGGTTAGAAGGGAAGCTTATTTACTCATTTACCATTTTCTGTATTCTCAGTGAGAGGCATCTAATCTCTCCTAAAGACAGAGTAGTATTGGTATAACATCTCTCCCATCCCATTTCTCCATCTTTTTCTCTATCACTGCTCTTAAAAGGCATGAAGCTCCTGTCTCCACCAACCATGATCTCAGGACAATCCACAATCACCCCCCCCCGCACCCCTCACGAAGGGGTATCTGAGTGTATGTCTGCGTGTTGCCCCTCATGCAGCAGCAGGCTGTTCTGAGAGTTGAGGGGAAAAAAACAAAAACAAAAGTAATATATATACCCAGAATGAAAATTTTATGTTCAGGTTATTTGAGTTCAGATCCTGCCTCTTCTCATAAAAGGTGTGTAACGATGAATAATTTTGTTTCTTCTCATAAAATACAAATCGTAACTTCAAGCTGCACCTAACTCTGAAGATTGTTGTGTAAAACTAACCTCCACTGAATGGAAAGCTCCTATGTTCGTGTCCAGCACAGTGGTAGTACATACTTGCTGTCATGTCGCTGAGAAGCATAGGCTGTGGTGACCTGGGCAACAGGTCTGTGCCCTTCCGAGGAGCAGTAAGCGCTCCTGCTGCCGCTCATTTGGGAATGGGTCAGAAAACGCACAAGTATGTGTGTCCCAGGTCTGTCCAGCAGGGGGAGCCATGTCTGGGGACAGGTATTCTTTGAGGGGCAGCCTTTTGGTCTTCAGGCCTTTTTCTGATGGTGAAGCACCCAAGTGTAACATCCTATGTACCATCCCATGCACTTTTCTCATCCTTACTTTTAAAATCAGTGTCAAAAATGAGGAGGGGTTGATTTACCCAGGATAGGAAAGGAACAAACTTTTTTCAGAAAAACACAGTATAAATGAGGACAGACTATTGCAGGAACCCACCTCAAGATATAGAGGAGAAATTACTTATCCCAGTGGAATAAAAAAGAAAGTATTTTCTGTGAAAAATGTGTACATGCACACATATACAATACATATATACTTACTACTGTGTGTGTGTATAAATAAATATATGGGGGGTATCTTAATCTAAGTTATTTTTTAATATCATATAGGAAAGAATTATTTATCAGGGAGTTAAAGAATTTACAAACTTATGAGGTATGTTTGACTGTCCTCTAGCTAGTGAGTGGAGGATTCGAGTTTGGAAGTGGGTCTGTTTCTCCAGCCCGGGTGCCCTTTCTGCTAATCACTCCCCAAGAAAAGGTAGGAACCAAATTCCCATGGATATGGGGTAAAAAAAGAAGACGCAGGAGATGCTTATTTACAGAAAGTGTCTGGAGCATCATGGGAAAATCTTAGGTGCCAGGAGATACTCATTAATGTACTCAATCTGTGTAGCCATTAATGAAGCAAGAGCTGCTCACAGAAGTGGTTAAAAGCCTGTTGAACACAATGATCAGGCTGCTCTTGCAGGTGACGTGTTGTAGCGAGTGAATATTGTGCACATTTGAGCCTTGACTTTGAAATCAGATAGAATTTCATAATCCTACTGACATTGCTATTCACTGATCTATATTAAATTAAAATAAATTGGATTCAGTTTCTCATGGGAAATAAATGCTAAGAATAATATGAGAATATTGGGGGAATTGAAAAACAGAATGTTTGCACCAACTTTCTCATTTGCTAGCATATAAGTAGTGGTCCAGATTGGTGCCAATTAATTTTCTCTGTGATTTGAAATAGTGAATGTTAAGAATGAATATTAATCTACTAATTTTAATGACTGTTATCTTTGAAATAGAAACTTGATTAAAGAACCAGAGCATTTGACTCTTACCTCTTTGCATAAAAAAATTTGTTTTTAATTTTCAAATATATTTTATGTTATAGTTTTCCAGTGTACAATTCTAAGTTGTAATGATTTTCTCTAAACATTCTCTTTAAATTTATTATTTAATATCTGCTATCAATCACATTTTCTTTTTTTATTGTGGTAAAAAACACTTCATATGGGATCTAATTGCTTACATTGTTAAGCCATTACAGTTTACCAAGTTTAAAGTTTCAGTTATGCAAGATTATGTAGAAGAATACATAGCTCTTCTTCTACATATTCAGGTATGTAGAAGAATACGTTCTACAAATCTACTGTATAACATTTTGCCTACCCTTTCCTATACTTACTGTGCACTTAGTGATTATTTGTTATTATGAAATAAAGTTTTATATTTTGTGGTAGCTACCTACTCTTTTATTTGAAGTACTGCAATAGTTTGTTTTTTTTTTAATCTAAGTGTAGCAGATAAAAGTTGATTCATCATTCTTTTCTATTTTCTCAGTAATTCTCTTTTCCAATGAAAGCCTTTTCTCTGTGTGCCCAGGCATGTCTCCATGTTTCAGGTGCTGGTTCACAGTATGGCTTACAGGGATAGCGGCAGGGTCAGGAGCTCTGGATGGCCTCCCTCAGCAATGACACATATAGGCCAGTGTCTCCCTTCCCTGGTCCGCCTCACCCTTTCCAGGGGCCTGAGGGATGCAGGTGTCCTCAGCAGTGGGTAAAGCATGGAAGCGAGTGTTCCTGCCACAGTTGGTTTTGTCACCATGTCTTTGGCATTTCACTTCCTACTGTTCTCAACCTACTTAATAGCCAAGAGAGGTAGAAATAATGGGTTACTTGACCAGTGTCTGCTCTAGTCCCTGTCTCGCAAGAAATTTTTCAGTTCTCATTTCTAGAAGGTCTGTGGTAGGAGGTGCGAGAGGGATACAAAGATAGATAATAGATACATCCAATCTCTCTCTCTCCCCCACTCCCTTCCTCATCTCCCACCCCCACCATTGACACACACACACCGACACACACTTCTCTTTCATAGATACTGGGAGAAACTGATTCTTATTTATAGTCCCTTTGACCTGCTTTCCTATCACCCTATTGCCACCACGACTGAAGCCATAACTCATTAAGAGAAACCTGTATGCTGTGGAATTACACAACAGGTGTCTCTCCAAGGATATTCATGGGTTGTGTTCCCTGAAATGTCCAGGCTTCCAGTAAAAAATGTGAAACAACTTACTGAAAAATTACATGTACTATCAAACACAAAGGAAGAGTTCTTTACACTAACATCTTAAGGGAGAGAAAAAAAAAGCACCCACTGCCCGAACTGAAGGCAATTTACCTTGCTGCTTCTCAAAAAAAGTCCTGCGAGGAGATTCTAGACTCCAAATCAAAAGTTCATTGGGCATCAAGTGTGGGTTTTCTCTCGTGTTATAAATATCAGCAATAGGAAAGGTTCCACTTTCTCTAACCTCTGAACTTCTCAGTGACAAATACTCATCTTGTACAATAGTGCTGGCCCATTAATTTGGAGATATTTGTTCAAAATACAAATTTCAAGGGTGACGGTTCAATAGAATTTCAGGGAATAAACAGGCTTTATCCTGCAGGGTCATTCATGGGAAATGAGCTGGCAGAGTGGTATCTAGAGCTGTCATAAGTTGATGACCAGAAATTTCTTAGTCATGGGGACCTGAGATCCCTGTTGCAACAGACACACATGATATGACCTTAATTATATCAAATTCTAAAAATCATCTGTTTTGCCCAAGATTTATGAAGGGGAAACTATTGATCCTGACTCCTACTCTCTCCATAATGTCCAATCATAAGTCTCTCTTTTATATCATATGTATTACAACTCCACCAGTTCTCCCAGTGCTATGAACCCCCTCAGACTAGGTGACATATCTATCACCCTGGGTTAGAAAGTGAGGTGTTGGAGGTCGGAAAGATGGCGGAGGAGTGAATGGGAGTCACGCCGACCTCCTCCCAAAACCAAACTGGAATTGCAACTAAATAATGGAGTAATCACCTGGAAAGTAGTGGAGCAATAGTGGGAGAGGAGCCTTGGTGCCGCAGGCAGTGGATTCTACTCTCACACATCCCAACGGGTGAGAATTGCGGTGGAGGCTCGAGAGGGTAGGCTGGGTGCCCACGGGCAGTGGCACCAGAGGGACATTGAAACGGCCAGTTAGCTCCCCCCAAGAAGAACGGAGTCTGAATCATTAACAGGAACCCCTAAACTACAGCAGCTAAAGCTGAGAAAATACAGACAAAACGCAACCCCAAAAAGCTAGAGGCGCTCTCTGCCAGAGACAGGTGGCTGGGGATGCAAAGAGATATTTAAAGGGCAAACGCAAAAGTTGCAGCAGCAGCCACCCTCCTTGATCGCTGGGTAGAGGCGGCAGCAGGGTGGGCTGGTGCCTGGGAAAAGAGTGGTGAGGAAAACTTTGTGAAGAGAACTGACAGGGCGGCTGGTGGAGCCTGGGTGGTAACGCACTTCCCACTCTGCAGCCACCATCTCGCTCAGGCATAAGGGAATCAATTAACCTGCCTTTTGTGCGCTCTGCACACAGCTTGTACGCGTGTGAGCTACGGGGCTGAGTGCAGACTGGCTGGGAGAGCCTTGAGAAGAGACTGGAGATGGAGGCGTTGGGGAAAGAACGGGAGGAGGAACCGGGGTGTCCCGACTCCCTCCCCATTCGGTAGTCTCCATTGTGGGCTGGAAAGGCGCAACCCCAAAGAGGCAGAAGCGGGGCGTGCATGAACCAGACTGCCTGCGATTGAAACGCACTCTGCACAGGGGTTGGATCCTTGGCCAAAGGGGTCACAGAACTGCCCAGAGGCCCCCGAGGAGAGACTAGAAATGGAGGCATTGGGGAAAGAACGGGAGGAGAAACCGTAGAGCCCCGACTCCTTCTCCTTGCCGTAGTCTCCATTGCGAGGGAAGAGGCCACACCCCCAAAGAGCCAAAAGCTGTAAAGCAAACAAAGACACCCCCAAAACACCCAGAGCAGGCGCGCACACTTGTGCTGAGTGACCGGCGAGGGTTGGTGAGCCTGTGTGTGACCCACACGGGCTGGCTAACGCTTGCACCTGCCGGCAAGGCCTCACACAGACTGGCACCCATATGGCCTGTGAGGGAGTGCACAGAGGGGCAAGGGCAGGCGTAAATTGACCTGCCCGCCACGATTGCGGAGCAGCCCACAAAATAAGTAGAGCTGCCCAGAGTCCCTGGAGGAGAGACCAGAAACAGGATTAACTGGAGAGTCCTAGAGCTGATTTCCTCCCATTTCCGTAGTCCCCATTTGGCGAGGGCAAGCAACGCACCCAAAGAGCCAAAAGCGGGGAAAACACACAATAGAAGACCCTAAACTGATCAGTGCTACGAAGCTCGCGTGCCAGGGAGGCCAGATGAGTACGGGAGGTCGCGAATAAGCCCCCTGGTCTGGGGCAAGCACATGCGAGCCCAGGCAGGTGGGGGACCCTGCCGCGCTGGGAACGCGCTCAAGGAGCCCGCGTGAGAGCGCAGAGAGATCCCAAAAAATAGCCCAGCCCTGACCGAAGGGGTCACAGAGCTGCTCCAAGCAGGAGTCAGACACAGGCATTAGACTCCTGGAAGGCTCAAA